GTCTGTTCACTTGTCAGAACATAGGCGAAGATCTTTCCCTGGAGATTTCTTAATAGATTAGATACTCACAGCACATATTTCTGCCAGAAAACTTGTAATGGTATGACTTTGGGCTTAAATAAAAGATCGATGAATTTCCTGACTAAGAGACAGGTAATTTTATGTAACGTCTTCTTAGTTTCATATGACGTCAACTGGAAGGATTTTTTAAGGGAGTGGGAGGTCATCTCATTTTCTTCTGCAGGCTGGGGCTAGCTGAGCATCTGCTGGGGGGTGGTAAACAATTGCTTGTGCATCACTTGTTGTCTGCATATAATCATATCTATTTTCCTTCTCTCTTATCTTAGTAAATAGTTTTAGGTAAACCCATAAGTTCTAGTTTGCTTTTTTTATTATTCTTCTTCTCTCCTCCATCCCACTGGAAAGAGTGGGAACGAGCAAATGTCTATGTAGTGCTGAGCCACCTGCAAGTTAAACCACAACAGTCAATTTGGCACCCAGCTTGGGGCTTGAAGGGTTGAGATAACAGCAGATTCTGTTAACACAGGGTGTTGCGGTAGTTTGATAATTGTTGGTCATGATACTGAGGTTGATTTTTCTCCGCCTTCCCCCTCTTTATGGAGTTCTTTGAGAGTTTTTGCATCAAACTATACTGTATAGCACCTTGCTTGCTGTTTGTTTTTCCTCCTGCGTTGTTTGTCATCTCTGGGAGTTGGATTATAGCTTTTATATTGCTATGCTGTGTGACATTGACTTACTTTATGACAAAATTGGCAGCCAAGAAATACACGTTTTGTGTGTAATCTGACATTGCAGTCATCTTTGAGTTTTGGAAGCTATACTGTTGATGATATTAGTAATTATACTCTGCTTCATGGCCTTGGGGAGCCTGACTATGGAGGAGACAGGGGAGAACAGTTTCCAGCTGTTCTTCATCCTCTCTTTCACTTTTCTTTTTTATTCCCTGGAGCTTGAGTGTTAGTTACAACAATCTTGAGAATTTTGAATATCTTTGGGATGTTCAAACCAGCATGCTCCTACAGCTGTGTGTCATTAATGTATTTCAGATTATGTTTAAGATTAAACAATTATCTAAGAGTAGCATCCAGTGATCTGCCCTGAGGCAGGAATAGAGTGGCAGGGAGTGTGGGAAGCTATGGGCAGGTGTGCAGGCCAGTGAGCACCCCCAGTGTTTGGAACTTCACCTCTGAACAACTGCAGAATCCTGAAAAACTAATAGAATATTTGGAAAGGTCTGCTGTCACCAAGGCAATCCTAAAGAGACACAGATCATTGCACAGTGCTGAGGCCTAGCCTATGCCTATCAAGCTCTGATCAACACTATTCAGCATCCTCAAGGGGAAGAGAATATTTCAGGACCTAATGACAATATGTCAGGCTGTATGGATGCTCCAATTCCCACAATGGGCCCCATGGCTGCTTTAACACTTCTCACATGCCTGGGAGGTGCCACGACCATCACAACCACTCCTGTGGTCACTCCAAGCTCTCTGACAAGTCCCAGACTGAGTGCCAAATTGATGGTTGTGGTTTAATCTGGCAGATGGCTCAGCTCTATGCGGTCATTTTTTCACTCCCCATTTCCAGTGGGATGGGAGAGAAAATAATAATTTAACAGAAAAAAAAAAACAAAATGAAACTTGTATGTTGAGATTAAATCATTTACTAAGATAAAGAAAATAGTTGACTATATATATATATATATACATACACATAAATGTGTGTAACAAGTAATGTACAAGCAATTGCTCATTACCTCCTGGCCTGTGCCTCTAGAGAAACTGAAGAGGGCAAGATGAACTCTCACTCCTTCTGCATGATGTCATATGATATGGAACAGCCCTTTGTTCAGTTTAAGTAAGCTGTCCTAATCTTGTTCCCTCCCAGCTCCTTGGGCCCTTTGCTGTGAGTGGCCTTGGCTTTACACAGTACTGCTGAGGAGACAACTAAGGCAACGTCAGTGTGTTATCAGCATTGTTTTCTCCTCGAACCAAAACATAGCAGCATATCAGACATTCTGAAGAAAACAATTCTGTCCCAGTTGAAACTAAGATTGTCTGGAGCACAAGTTTTATGAGAAGCAACTGAGGGAATTGGGATTGTTCAGTCTGGAGAAGAGGAGGCTCAGGAGAGACCTCATTGCTGTCTATAACTACCTGAAGGGAGGTTGTAGTGATGTGTGGGGTCTGCCTATTTTCCCAGGTGAGGAAACTAGTGGCAGGATGAGAAGCGATGGCTTTAATCTGCACCAGGATCTTTTGAGGCTCACTGCAGCAGTAACTATGGAGGATTTAGAAATCAGTGATAGGAAATGATGGAGGAAAAATTGTAGGAACAGTCTGTGGTCTTCAAGGGGACTAGTTATGTCTGTGCTTCTGGGTTGTTTCCTCAAAATGGGAGAGTTTGGCTTCCTTATAAAGTGAGAGTTTTTAGTTTGATCTTCAGTTTTCTGCAGTTGATAAAAGTACATTTTCAAGGACAGATTAAAGAAGAACCTTTTCAGGGACTCAAGTATATTTACTAGTACAAAAACTTATAGCTTTGGAAAAAAGGGGCTTTATGAAAGAGACACAGTCATCAGAGTGTATAATGATATTTCTGTTCGGTGTGTTTGGATGCAAAAAAATTTCTAGTGCTTTGATTCCCGCTCTCCCGTTTCAGCATGTACTGGTTCGTTAGTAACTAGCATAAATGTTATTTCTTGTCTAGAAGATAAATATATTCCTTAGAACAGTGGTATCCAGTCTTTTGGCTTCTCTGGTCTGCGCTAGGTGAAGAATTGTCTTGGGCCACATTTAAAATACATAGGTTACACCAAAACTAGCGCCTCCTTTTACATCCATGGAAATGACAACAGCTACAAAGAGCACAATTACCCTGTTTGGTAGGGCACATTATCAGATACTTGTCAACGCAGTCACCGCTATTACCTATGCATTTTTGCAGCAGTGATCAAGAGCCCGCGTGCCTCACACATAAAAATCTGCACTAGTGGAGGTGACCTGCTGTTGCTACTACTGAAACACATCACCCACTGACTCACTGCGTTTGCATCCACTGTTTGGTCTCCAGAAATGTTCAGCAAGTGTCAACAAATGTCAATGGTCACATTTTTTCTGCATGGAGTAATTTAATTGCACATCGTTGCTTTATATGCACTTCCATATCGGACTCCATTCTGTCAGACTGTCTCTTTGTTGCTATCTGTCACATAGCAATAAAGCTTAACAGAATACTGGTGAAAATGGTCAGTCTCTACTTTCATTCCACCAATATCTGCCTCTGACTTAGTGGGCCAACATATTAGAATGGGAGGCATTACTTTCAGAGCAGCCCTTGTATATAATATAGTTAATGTAGATAAGCAACAAAACTTACTTTTTATTTTTATTAAAACATAAAAAGAGAGCAACGAAGACATGAGACTAGTGGGCTACTTGATCTTGTTTTTGTCAACCTAATGTGTCAATGTCTGGTTCAGTGGAAGTGGATGCAATTCTGAGTTCTCAAGGTGCTCCTCAAAGAATTTTGATGAAATTTTCCTCTTCCTGTACTTCACCCTTGAAAACGGTTGTTCATAAATGTAGGTAGTGCCAAAAGCAATGACATTAATAAGATGCGACTCTGAATTAAGGGATGTTTTTCTCTGGTAAGATAGGTTTTATGAAAATCTGGTAAAGAGACACAATCCAATTTTTTGGTTGAATATCCGATTGTAACTATACGTTTCATTTCAGAATTTGCACAAAATGCAAATATATTAACTGAAAAGGAGTTGCAAATACACGAAAAGCCAAGATGTTTCCATCAATCCTGAAAGCTATTCTCAGATTCCCGTATCAAAATGCACAAGGCTGCATATTTTTCTTTGTTCACTGATCTGTGTTTAGTCAGTGTATCAAAATGCATAAAGTTATTTGCCATAATTTAACGCTGCTCCGCACTCTCCCCACATCCTGGTTTCAGCCCAAGGCAGTGCCAATCTCACCCTGATGTTTGGTTGTGACTGAGTCATTAATCTGCCCCCAGGTCCTGGTTGGTCCACTCAGTGGGGAAAAGCTGCTCCTGTAAATGGTGTGGAGCAGGAGGTGGCCACAGTGAGGGTGTGAGAACCACCTCTGTGAAATTGCTCTCTTAATTTCTGATGCAAAGTTAATGCTATGAAGATTTGCCAACATTTTTTTTTTCCAGGAGAGCAAAAATTATCAATGCCACATCCCTCTTAGTAAAACCCAAAATGTGACTGGAGTTGTGCTAATACATTAGATACATTGGGTTCTTGTTTATTTCATCAACCTGCTTGTACTGCAAATTGCTGATTAGAACACCCCTCCTGTGGGCATATTTCTATTTGGATGCTCATCTGTATAAGACAATTATGGATTTTCAACTTGTGTTTTTGAAAGTGTATGGCAAACAGTGGAAACTGAAACACAGGATTGCATTTCCAAATGAATAGAGAGCTTGTTATTTATGATTCTGTGCTAGCTTAATTTTACTTGCAAAAAGATTTTTGTGGTTTTTTTTTTGTTTGTTTTTTGTTTTTTTTTTTTTGTTTTACACTTCAGAATGTGTAGTTGACCTACATTTCAAGTGGATGTGTTAACTTCTTTCATGTCAGCATTTTCACATCCACATTAAAGAAGCTACGGGGAAAAAAGTTGCTACCCTCCCTCTTTCCTGTAGTTTCCAGCTTTAAGGAGGGGCATAGGCAGACTTGTGATAAATCTCTATGGCTCACCCATTTAAAGGATAGATAAAAAGCAATTTAAAACATAACATTCTCCAGATTTCCTTTCCAAAGTTTTCGTTTCAGATGTATTCTTTAATAAAACTGAAACTTGTGTTCAGATGAACATTTTGGATACTCTGTTTGTGGAGTCAAAAATTAGGTTTAAGTCTGCTTGTATCTGCATTATATCTCTTATATGATAGAATGAAGATACCTAACTCATCTTTCTCTTTTTTCGTCCCACTAGTTAACGGTCTAATGATGCTTGGATTAGCAGGTGAGCTTTACTTCTAAAATCCAGACTTACAAATTTCTGTCTTGTTAATGCTAGCCATTTGAGAAGCGCTTTCAGTCTGTCTCATTTAAAAACTATCCAACTTTCCTGCTGGTTTTTTTTTTTTAGAATTGATTTTTTCCACTGTGTGAACATAGAGTGTTTTAGTATTTTGTAAATGTCAATTGCAATAGAAATGGTAAAATTGTAGAGCTGTGCATAATTTTGAACTCCCTTAATTTAGATTTAGATAGTAACATGATGACACACTAGTTTCTATCAGATGTCTCTATCAGAGTTTCTGTTACAACACTGTAAAATACTGAGGTTCTAAAAAGAAACAACAAAATAAACCAAGGCCACAGAAAATCCATTACACTGCCCTTATTTAATAATTTTCACTATTTTTGTCAATGGTGATTAATTCTAGTTCTGATTTATTTTCATTTTTTCCCCTGACCTTGGCAAGGGTTTAGCGTCACCCATCAGAGCACTGCCTTTGAGTATAATGGTCAGATGTAAGGGGTTTATTCAGTTGGTCTCAATTAGTTGCACACACAGAGAAGTTTGTGGCCAGTATGAGATAATGGGGCTAGATGTAGCATGGACTATACAGTTATGGGCCTACTGCTGTTTGAAAGCATGTTTTCATGCTTCCAATAGATGCGATAGCTGTCTCACTTGATATATGGCATTAGTGAGTTGGTGACGGCCCTAGCTGAAGTCATTGGCCTGAACAAATGGAAGTCAGAAGGTGAGAAATCCAGAATATACAAAGATTGTGGTGGGACAAACCAGCCAAGACTGACGATGTGCTCCACAGTCTTCAAACTGTAGAAAGGTTATCTTCTTCACTGGCCTGATGCTGGTACTGCAAATCTCTAGCTTAGTCAGCATTGTGATGCAGCAGCCAGAGCTCACCTGGTTTGTCCGGGTTCCAGGATATGCAGAAGGATCATCCCCTTCCTATGCCACATGACAGCACACATCATTTTACCACCTGGGAGCTGTGTCTTGAACTTTTTGTTCGATAGGGAGTTCACATTGTCACTCCATGTACTGCTGTTTTGACTCTGGCTTGTAGTGGCTTATCTTTCATTGTGCTGTCGTCACTGTGGAAGTGTAGCACTCACCACCTCACTGTGCTGGTATTACTGTTTGTTCAGCATAAATGTTCAGCAAGTGTCAAAGAATGTCAGTGGGTGCAATTTTTTCTGCATGGAGGAATTCTGTTCCACTCCTTTGCTTCAGACATCAGCTTGTCACACTGATGCTCTGCTTCTTCATCAATGACCTTGATGAGGGGATAATGGCCACCCTCAGCAAGTTTGCTGATGATACAAAGTTAGGAGGATTGGCTGACACTCCTGAAGGCCGTGCTGCCATTCAGCGAGACCTGGACAGGCTGGAGAGCTGGGCAGAAAAAAACCAGATGAGGTTTAACAAAAGCAAGTGTAGAGTCTTGCATCTGGGGAGGAATAATTGCATGCACCGGTGCAGGTTGGGGGATGACCTGCTGGAGAGGAGCTCTGCAGAGAGGGACCTGGGTGTCCTGGTGGATGACAGGTCGGCCATGAGCCAGCAGTGTGCCCTTGTGGCCAAAAAGGCCAATGGCATCCTGGGGTGCATTAAAAAGAGCGTGTCCAGCAGGTCGAAGGAGGTGATCCTCCCCCTCTACTCTGCCCTGGTAAGACCTCATCTGGAGTACTGTGTCCAGTTCTGGGCTCCCCAGTACAAAAAAGACAAGGATCTCTTGAAAAGAGTCCAGCGGAGGGCCACAAAGATGGTGAAGGGCCTGGAGCATCTCTCCTATGAAGAAAGGCTGAGAGAACTGGGTCTGTTCAGCCTTGAGAAAAGGAGACTGAGAGGGGACCTGATCCAGGTCTATAAATATCTAAGGTGTGGGGGGCAGAATGGCGTGGCCGGACTCTTTTCAGTGGTGAGTGGAGACAGGACAAGGGGAAACGGCTGGAAACTGCAGCATAGGAAGTTCCGCACAAACATGCACAACAACTTCTTTACAGTGAGGGTGACGGAGCACTGGAACAGGCTGCCCAGGGAGGTGGTGGAGTCTCCTTCTCTGGAGATGTTCAAGACCTGCCTGGATGCCTACCTGTGCGACCTGCTGTAGGGAACCTGCTTTGGCAGGGGGGTTGGACTCGATGATCTCTGGAGGTCCCTTCCAACCCCTACAGTTCTGTGATTCTGTGATTCTGTATGTTACGTGCCAACAAAATGTAATGGAATATTGGCCAGAAGCTCAACCTCTGCTTCCGTAACACCAATATCTGCCTCTGATGTTAGAGGCCAACAGAATAAAACAGGAAACTTTCAGCAAAGCCCTTGTGTTTCATTTGATGGCTATACTAACGAAAAATCTTATTAGCAACTATGAGATTCCAATCAGAGCTAATCAGATGCTTCTTGCAAATGTTTCTAGCTCAGTGGGACTCATCTGTATAAGCTTAGAAAGTACTTTCTACACTATGAATAAACTCCAATTAGCTTTAAATTATAAATGCGGATGGGTTGCAGTAAGTTAGTAAAAGGAGAAGTTAAGATTTCAAAAATATCTAGGCAGATTTCTCTGTATTAGATCTAATGGATAACAAGTTAGGTAGTCATGTGCTGAGTGACATTTTATATAAATTTTGTAAATGCATATTTTATGTAAAATTGTTTAGAAATTTGAATGTTATATCTACAACATTAATTGTCAAGCAGGAGGAGTTTGCAAATCATGCATTTATGGATCTTCTATTTCAATACTTGATTTTTTCTAGGTGTGCATCAACAGATTAATCTCTGCAATGAGTCTCTCATGTTAGAAAAGTTGCCTGTCTGTGGAAAGTTCTTTGAAGGGATGATGAAGAAAGTGGACTCCAAAAAATGGTGCAACCTGACAGAATTTATCATGTAAGTGTTAGTTTTGGTTTTGATACCTGTCACTGTAAAATAGTGATTGTTCTGAAAAAAAAACACCTGACAACTTCAAATATCTTGAAAACACCAACTAAAAATGTGTGTGTTCTTTACAACAGAATAGATTGAACATCTCTATTTTATGTCTCAAATATCACTGGCTAGGTTTGCTAACGTAGGAACATAGGAATTTCCTTATGATCACGAGGAAATACTTATTTACTCTGAGGGTGACAGAATGCCGAAACAAACTGCTCAGAGAGTCTGTAGAGTCTCCTCCTCCAGAGATATTCAAAACCCACCTGGACACCTTCCTGTGTAACTTACTCTATAAAAATTCTTCAGCGGGGGGGTGGGACTGGATGATCTCTAAAGGTCCTTTCCAACCTCTATGAGTCTGTGATATGGTGACATTTTGGCAATCTTGAGGAAAAAGTTCTTATTTATTTTACTTAAAATATCTTAAAATCAGTGAAAGAAGATTTTGCTTTAGCCTTTCACCTGCCTTTGTATTATCATTCAATTATGACACCAGTGAAAATTCATGATAGTACTTCATGAAAGAATAATTCCAATAAAACTTTTTTTTTTTTTTTTTTTTTTTTTCCCCATTTCACAATGCTTTTGTTTAGTGCTAGATGTCTTTTTCACCATATGGAAGGATTTACTATTGTGCCTAATGAATATAAAGCATTTGTGTTCCAGATAAATTGCAGTCTTTCTGTATTTGTTTTGAAGTTGCAAAGTGCAAAGCTATAGCTCTTAAGTCTCCTCAGTATGGTCATGTGCACACAGACCAAGCAATTTTATAAATGTGCATAATAGAGCACACTAATGAATACTAACCAGAGTATTAACAAGTATTAAGCAACAATGGTATTGCTTTTACCTCAGACTGTTTTTTATATTATAATCTGTAAAAAATATATATAATAGAACATAATAATAATAAGTAATAATAAGATTAACTCAGAAGGAAAAAAAATGGATTTTCTTGCTTTAAGCTACATGTAGTATTAGTTATGTGGTAATCTGCTGAAGGCATGAGAAATATGAATTCTTAGTACCTGTTTTTTGTTCTGTATTTAAGATCTTCGTTCAGCAACAGAACTTTATTATATAATGATACTTTAAAAAAAGGACTAAGCACAGTTAATTGATGAGGCTCTGGCATTTCTGTTTACCCTTGTTGGAAAGTAGTACTTGTACAAGAAATGTGGTGTTCATAGAATCATGGGATGGTTAGGGTTGGAAGGCATCTTTAAGGTCATCTAGTTTCAGCCCCCCGCTACAGGCGGGGATATCTCACTGGACCAGATCACTAACAGCCGCATCAAACTTGGCCTTGAGTGCTTTCAGGGCATCCACAGCCACACTGGGCAACATGTTCCAGTGTCTCACCACCCTGATGGTAAGAATTTCTTCCTGATATCTAGTCAAAATCTACTCTCTTATAGTTTATAGCCATTTCCCATTGTCCTGTCACTACATGTCCTTATCTAAAGTCTGTCCCCAGCTTTCCCGCAGGCCATTTTCTGGTACTGGGAGGCTGCTATGAGGTCCCACAGGAGCCTTCTGTTCCCCAGGCTGAAGAGGTCCAAATCTCTCATTCTGTCCCTGTGCATGAGGTGCTCAAGCCCTCAGAAGCCCTTAGGAGAAACCCTCCTAAAATATACAGTATCATTAATATGTAAATATAAAAACATTTTAATTGAAAATATTTTTCTTAAAATATTTTTTTAGAAAAAAGAGAGAGGAACAAAAAACATTAATCTAGTGAGAAATTTCATCTTGTTTTTGTGAAACTAACACATCAGTCTGGTTTGACAGCAATAGCTGCAATTCTTAGTGAGCTCTCAAGGCGTTCATTAGAGAATTTTGATGACATTTTACTCTTCTTATACTTCATCCTTGACAATAATGGTATAAAATATACATACTGCCAAAAAATGATGACATGAGTAAGGTGTGACTGTGAAGAGAGGATATTTTTCTCTGTAAAGACAGGGATTATGGAAGTCCAGAGTTTTGATTTGAATTGCAACTCTATATTCCATTTGCAAATTTGCAGGTCATGTATTTATATCAGGTGAAAATGGTCTTGAAAGTGTAAATTGATAATTTTTTTAAGGCAGTCTTGAAACTCCAAGTTGTGGGGTGCACTTTATATGCCCAATGGACAAGATGTCATCCAGAGAGACCTAGACAGGCTCAAGCAGTGAGCCCAAGAGAACCTGAGATTCAACAGATCTGAGTGCAAGGTCTTGCACCTGGGTTGAGGCAACCTCCACAACTGACACAAACTGGAGGATGAAATGATTGAGCACAGCCCTGCCGAAAAGGACTTGGGAGTACTGGTGGATTGCAAACTGGACATGAGCCAGTAAGGTGACCTTGCAGCCCAGAAAGCCAACCGCACCCTGAGCTTCATCATAAAAAGCATGGCCAGCAGGTCAAGGAAGGTGATCCTGCCCCTCTATTCTGCACTGCTGAGACCTCACCTGAAGTTCTGCATACAGATGTGGAGATGTTTCTCCTTAGAATAGGAGAAACATGGATCACTTGGAGCACATCCAGATGAGGGATGTGCACAAAAATGATCCCAGGGATGGAACACCTCCCCTTTGAGGACAGGCTGAGAAAGCTGGGGCTGTTCAGCCTGAAGAAGAAAAGGCTCTGGGGAGATCTGATAGCAGCCTTCCAGTATCTAAAGAGGAGCTGTAAGAACGAAGGGGACAGACTCTTTATCAAGGTCTTGGTGATAGGACAGCGGGAAATGGTTTCAAACTTAGCAGAGATTTAGTTTGGGTATAAGGAATTCTTTTACAGTGAGGGTGGTGAGGTGCAGGAACAGGTTGCCCAGAGATGTGGTGGAAGCCCTGTCCCTGGAGACATTCAAGGTCAGTTGGGCCAGGCTCCGAGCATCCTGCTCCGGCAGTGGATGTCCCTGTTCTTTGCTGGGGAGTTGGACTAGATAGACTGTCAAAAGTCCCTTCCAACACTAAGAATTCTATGATTCTACTTTCAAGTTCTTCCATGAAATCAGAAATCACGGCTGCATATTCTTCGCTGTTCAGCGCCTTGTCTTCAGCCAATATATCAAAATGTACACGATTATTTGCCACCACTTGAGTCAGCACTGCACAGTACTGGCCTCATGCTCGGGTTTCTGTTAACACAGTGTTAATAATGCACCAATGATCTGGCTGTTGCTGAGAGATGGATTTGTGCCCTGGGTTGCTCCGTGGGGAAGAACTGCCACCTTTAAATCCAGGGAAGGAGGTTGGCCACATTGCAAGTTGTGCTGGACTGATTGTGGCCTGAGGGCCATGGGTTGGACACTCCTGACGTAGACCATTTTCCATGAAGGCTTTTTTATTTGCATTCCCACTAGAATACCATTATTTACCTTTATTTGTTTTTGGAGTTAACTGTTTAGTTAGCAATGAGGAATCCTGTTCTAGGTCTGTGGCTTAGATATCACGTTGTTTTTCCTGCTTTTGAATTGGAGGGTTAGGATTTTTCAGTGTGTTTAGTGTTTTGGCTAGAAGAAGAACTCTGTTCCTACGGAACACAACATTTAATTAGACCGAAGTTTAGCAGAACATTACTGTGGCTTAATAGTGACCACTCTCACATTACTTTACTAGTAAAGCAGCTAATGGCCACACTTATCCAGATATGAAGATGACTTGATTCAGGGCTCCTGGCAAGCTGTAAAATGCTGCTGCTCATACAGGTTTCTGTCTTCCGAGCTGCAACCATGCATCATTCTATAACTTAAAACTGACAGCATGGTATGTTTTTCTAAAAGCAAAACTTCTTCTGCATTGTGGAGATAAAAATAAAAAAACAAATAAACAAACAGACAAGCAGAAAAAAAAAGAAAACACCCAATAGCACTTGAGAGTAGAAAACAGTACCAATTAGTAACGCCCACCTCAACAGTACTTTGTATAATATTAGGATGGACAGGCTTGTGAGACAGACCTTGTAAGAAGTCTGACATGTTTTGAAAATACCGATAAACCCTCCTATCCATGAGCAAAATGTGCTTTGATGTACAAAACCTGCTTTTTGTTTGTCAAGAACCATGTTCAGTTTTTTCAGTACATGGAGAGGTGGCCAGTGGTCACAGATGGATTGGTGGAGACAAGACTCTATAGGTGACTGCAAGCCTGGTGCCAAAAAAATTGTATTTAAATCTGAAATTTGTGTCCTGAGTTTACTCCGAAAGATGAGCTTCCTTAGGACAATAATACTATTGGCCTCTTAAGAACATTCCCAATTCCATTTAACAAACACTTGAGATTTCTTCTTTTTTGTTTTTTGTGACTGAGATGGACTTAAATATCTGGCCTATAGATAAATGGAATTATTTATTTTCTGACTCATTCTTACATGCTATCAAAGGTCTTTTATTTGATCATCATTTTAATGAGAAATTGCAGAAGGGAGAAACAGTAAGCATGAAAATTGAGTTTAAAGTAGTTGCAAAAGCATTATGAATCCTCAAATCTGTCTTAACTCCTCACCTTTATGACTTATTTAAGCATATCTCAAAAAGTATGATTTCAAGTTGACAGGATAAGTAAGTTCATGTGTAATTTCATATAATGAGCTCTGCTGGAACTGTGTAAAAATTAAAATTGGCAGAATCACCTGTAGAATCTAAGCAGGGTTTTGATCTCTGGATAAAAATTACAAGCTTGATACATTTTGAGGGAAATGAAGATCAAAGCAAGATAGAGTCTCACATCTGTCTTTTGTCTGATTTCTGGCACTGTGGTACTTGCTATGAAGTGTTCCTGAAGCTTCCTTTGTTGATAACCCGTGATGAGGGCTCTGCTGAAGCTTTTCAGGGAGGGTTCATAAGGCCTGTGTTCTGAGATCTGCATTCGTGGAAACAGAGTGAGAGAGGAGGTGCGCGTCTATGCAGGATTAGCTTGTAATTAAGTTCCCTTTAACCTGGGAACTGCTGTGCAGTCTTCAGC